TCTCTACTATAGGGTGTAATCGTAGAAAACAAGTCCAGATAGTGTAAATTGTATGCTTGTTGTTCAGCATCTAACACAAATCTTCACAGCACTTGTCCTGCGCTGTGACATTTTTTGCTATTTCCAAGCTTTGATCACAAAATGCACAATTCTGAGCCCTTTTGGTAACAATATGACGTTTCATTTAGTTAACATCAAATAAAATCTAGGATTATCTTAAAGAGACAGGAAACCAGACGATTTATATTAATGCACAGTACAGTAACTTTATACTGTGAGTGCAAGGCTTGTATTTCCATTTATTAAGCATAATCTCCTCATTATTCATCCATCTAGCTACAGTATACCATATTTTTCAAAGGAGGACATCTATTAAGTTAAAATTATTAAGGTCTTGAACAGCACTGATACATATTCATAAACAGACAATTTAGGAACTCATATTGTACATTCTTTCAACAAATGCCGTCTTCATCACATGATGAAAGCATTGACATCATAATTGACTGATACTCTAATTGAATTGATGCACTTTTAGGATTTGCTAAACTAGGCCATTTTGAATAGCAATCTTGAGCTACAGTATGTGCCGACAGTTAACCAGCTTAATGACTAAATCTGTGGGATGACCTTTGATATAGGCCATTCCCAATTGAATTGTAATTTTTTAGCACAATATAGCAAGATGCAGGATTTTACCAAGACATTTTTTTTAGTCTGGGAACCAGAAAACCATATTAACAGCTTCTTACCCTTTCCTCCCAAAAAAACAATTACAGCTGGTTAAAACTACTTTAGGCTGACACTGAAGTACCAGACCATAGCATTCTAGTGTTTAACTGCAAAGAACTTTGTTTGTCTTCCCATCTTCATTTTAAGTATCCAAATGATTGTTGTTTTCTTTTAAGAGTCTGAGTCATCCTTTTAAACAATCTTCTTACTAATTCATAATTACTAAACAGCACACCAATCTACTGTAGCAACACCAATCCTGCATCGGTATGGTAAGGCTTAGGGTAAACCTCTCAGAAACCGCTTATCTAAAGCTCTATAGCCTTTACTTACTGTACTCCTTTTCCATCCAACCATTTTCAGTCTGCTTGTTGTTGGGGTACGGTTACTCTTTCCTCGCTCCTTCTAACTTTTATTTCCTATTTGTTCACTTATAATGTGTCACAGAGACCCTTCCTACTCTTTATGGACTCAAACAATCATACTGTACAACAAATTGCAATAAGATGACATATAGACTTTCTATAACACAGTTTCAAATGGTCATTTTTATACCTGTAAATATTAATTACACAATAACTAGTCGCAAAAAAATATAGTAATTACTGCAATCTCTAAACTATTTTGCTCAAACTGTGGTTAAGATATGTGGTATGAATAAAGAGCTGATGTTCAAAGCAAAAATATACCTTTGAATTCCTGTGGAATTTGAAGGTGTTCTCTGCAAATCTATTTTGCCCAGAAACATCATTATATCTCTCAGTCCATGTTCAAAGCAGTGGGGATTTTTCAAAGTATCTTTCAAAGTCATCATAATATTGGATTCCAGTAATGACAGCTGTGGTTTCATTGCTGTGGCTAGTTGTCAAGAGGAGAATGCACTGTCATTGTAACAATGAAGAGAAAAGTTTTTTTGCACTGTATTGTGAAAAGAGGGTGTGCTGAGACATCAAAGAGAGAAGATAGAACAGACCTATACATGTTAAAATCTTGAAAACCAAGTTTTGATAGATTTATGGACATCACATGATATTATTTTTGATTTCCTGATTTTTAAAATCAGCTCTGTTTTATGTGGATTCAAATGTAAATTGACCTTGAATATAGCAATAATAGCAAGAACCCGGAGGATGGATGCCATCCTGCTCATGGTTTGAAAGACAGCAATTATTATTTTACAAATGTCAAAATGACTTCTTATATATTGGTTGAAACTTCTTAAGACTGTAGAAAACCTTTGAAAAAATTCAAAATTCTTTACTTTGGGGATTATGCTTTTCTCATGTTGATTTCAATTTCTATTTGCAATTATAAAACATGGCCCACATAGTTCATTTAAAAAAATGTAATGTACCCTGCACTTAATGGACAGTTATTGGGGGTTAAAGTCTAAATCTACAGATAAATTAATTTATACCAGCTATTCCCATTCTGAATTGTCATCACCCCCAGAAGACACAACGCATGTTTTTAAATTTTAATTCATGTTATTTTTCGTCAGACTTTCTGGAGCTCATATACTTGTTGCAAAAAGGTAGAATGAAAGATATTATAATGAGCAAGTGAATTTCCATAGAGAACGTCCTGCGCGTTCCCACTAACGTCTGGTATGCAAACTTGCAAACATCTGAGGAGAGTCTGTTGTTGACTGACAGCTAGATACCTTTTATAAAAAACTATTTTCCTCACCTTTAACTTCTTAAAGAACTGAGAATTTTCAAAGAACCCAAATGGAGAAATAGTGATGAAGAAAAAAGTAAATATAACTGAATACTCTCAATACAGTGAACAAAATAATATATACTGAGACATTATGGTCCAGGTTAAGGGCTTATTAACAGGAGCTGTCTGGGTCAAGTCATTGACTCATCATGTGTGTTAACCTAAGCAAGTTAACCTTCCTGTGCTCATTTCCTTTTTGAAAGTGACTCTACAGAAATCCTTTTGATTGATCAGTACTCCTCCTAGTTTATTTAAAGTAGATTCTTCACAAACCCACTTTCTTCTATTACAATGTACTATCATTATGTAACTGCATATTACTGTGATTATAGCAAATTACTGAGTAAATAACATGTAACCTCTGATTTCCAATAAACATATGAAGAGTTTAGGTATATCTAGGTATATTTCTGTTAAATTAAATTAAACAAATCCAATTGTAAGGAATGTAACACTTGTAACAGAACTTTAACTGGAAGATACACTTCAGTGGATATTTATTGGATTCTTTTTAAATTTTAATACATATTAAAAGGCATGAAAAATGAACAAATGCTATTTGTTCTGAGACACATTGGTTACATTTCGAATTCCTCTCAATATATAAAGTTAATTATTCCAATGATTTATATACGTAAAATTACTTTGCACAACAGTACATAGAGTATGTGCTATCATTTTATGCAATACAGTACCCTGGAGTCATTTTCAGTTTAGTGTTGTTGTGTACAGTTCAGGTAAGATGAAATAGCAGTGAAAATTCTTATGCCACCCAGTCAAGAGGTCACAAAATATTTTGACCCCATTTATAGTTTTGCCAGATTTGAAAAAAGTGCAGTGTTTTGCACATTTCCCTTCTCGATTATTCATATTTTCTTTTGGCCCAGGAAAGAAATAGGACGCACACTGATAAACCTATGAAATCAAATCCAAAAAGATACATTTCTGGAGACTTACTGAATGCAAAATCATGGATTTTACATACACTAATGTGAAATTCTCAAAGTACTGTATGTGAGAAAAATACTCCTGTTAGAGACATTTTGCAAGGTTTGACAAACAGGTTTAGTACTCAACCGAGTGGGTAGAAGTCTTCCAACTGTGAATTAAAACACAAGCATGAAGGGATATTGGACTTAATCTACATATAATTAAATGCAGGCACAATGCCAGAAACTAACACTTCCTCAGTGTTTAGACAAAACAATATTCAATGCATCTTTTGCTGTTGTGAAAGGTGTTTGTATGGCTGAGCAGTTTCTTGTAACTGTTCAAAGTTTAAATTCTCAAGCACCATTTACGATATTAATGCACACAGTCATAATATACTTCCCATAATATTCCTTATGCATTTATTGGTCTATCTAATCAAGGACAATTGTAGTAGTATAACTGAAACTGATTTTTTCAATACTAAATTTATCTAGGGGATAGACTGACTGCACTTAAGGCCCTTTGAAATCTTCAAAGACTGCTAATATTCCCAAGGTATACAGGATATTAGAGTTCACTTTTCTTGCAGCTTTAGTAACAACTTGTGATTATTGTAATTATAATGTTCCCTTTAGAATTTACAATAAATACTACTAATAATAACATCAATAATACTAATGACTGCTTTTGCAAGCGTAGAGAAACAAAAACATTTTTCCTTATTCAGAATTTCCACAAGGTACAGTAACTTTCACATTTTCACGCCCATGCACATTCATAATAGCAAACAGATTCCCCTCAGAGAGTTGTTACTGCCTTTTTCAGAAAGTGGTTTAAAAACTCTTACAGTAACATTACCACACCCCCTTTTTGTAAAATAACGCATTTAAGTTGTGGTTTAGTGACAGGGGGTCTGTAGAAGCGATTTATATACACCTTTGTTAAACAACTTGTGCACCTCACCTACTGTACATTAAGTACCCACCATAAGATGAGGGATTCCAGAAAAAATGAGATACAGTATACAGTATTTATGTAACTTCAAATTATATAAAGATAAAATGTTGTGTGTTCCAAGCTTCTGTTAAACAGCTGTCTTTAAACAAACCCGTTTCATTTTCTTTTACACATCATTCAATACTCTTAGCTTTCCATAACAAAGGGCTCAGGGTATAGAGCTTATCCAGAGCTTGTTTTTTTCTTTCTCTGTGTTGTCTTAAGCACAAAAAGCAATCTCAATGTACTGGAATCCCTCACAATTTTGCGTGCTAATTGCTTTACTAGAGGGGTTTACTATCAAGCCATATAATCAGCGATTCCCAGCAACATTAACAAAACATTTCTCTGTATTTAAAAAAAAAAAGACATAACCTAAAGCTAAATGCATGCTTTTTGTAGTTCATTTTCTCAACCTTTCATTAGGATAAAAATTCATTTCTATTGATCATTACACAGTATCCCCTTCCTTGCCTCTCTCTGAGACCTGCATTCATTGAAAATGCTAACAGATTACAAAGAGCTTAAATAGAATTAATAAGCACTTAGCAGTGTAGTTATAAAAGGAAGGAGGAAGAAAAGATCAGCACAGCAGAAAAGTAAAGAGTGTAGCTTACCTTATTTTATGCATCTCGCTGTCAGAGGCCTGAAAAGAACCAAATCAGATTAAATGAATAAAAGAGAAGGTTCATCCTGCAGATGCATGCGGAGATCAGCCTTAACAAATGATTTTGGACAAGTATCTACATAGCGTCAGTAAACAAATCTACATCTGCATTAGCAGAAAAAAATTGACAGATTAACTCCGAGAAAAAATCGCAGCAGACTGCAGAAACACACTATACCCAAGGGCCATAGGCAACGAATGACTCAGTTGCTGCACTGAAGAGGAAAAAAGAAGAGAGAATAGCAAGTAACAGGTAATAGTATCTGTTGAATTTCACACATAGAAAATAATGCTGTTCTCACCAACTATGTTTTTTTCCTTAAACAGTGATGTGTGTAGGGAAGAATACTGGTTGTTTTTTTTTCCTCATACATTATGCATAGGGATGGTATTATGCAAGTTGCATTTACATTTCCATTCTGTTTGTGTTTGCACTAATTCAGCATTGAGCCAATGGAAAATTGAGTCATTACAAATATACTAAGACGTTGATTCTTTATGTGTTTTGTTGTGTTAGCCTTATTTTTGAACAGTTCCTCGCTATTTTAAACATAAGGAAACCACTAAACCACTTATTATTATTATTAATACTAATAATAACCGAAGAAGGCTCACCCAAAGAAGGCTCCACAGCCGAAACATTGTGTTTTCTTTCTTCTCTTTTCAGCATGGAATAAACCTATTACTTGTTCCTTATTATTATTATAACAGGAGCTGGTACTTAAATAATGTATTGTTAAAGTATATAACAAACTATTAACAAACATAAACACAAATGACACAACACACATCCAGAAAGCCTTCACTGATTACATCAATGTCCCCTAAAGAAAAACTCTAATATACTATACTGAAAATAAGTGTCATTTGAATAGCATAGTATGATTAATGACTGTGAGATGATTGATTGTGAGACAGTTTCTGCTCCAGGATTTGTTGACACTCAGCCCACTTTGCGAAGACATTCATTTACATAGTTGTAAATACCAGGCTTTTCATACCTGAAGTGTTCTAAAAGGTTTTGGATTTTTCATATACTACCCAGCTCAAAAGCATTACAATGGTACATTATTCCTGGGGAGAGAATGTGATGTGTCACTTAGGCATTGTGACATTCTGCCCCCTGTCAAGGAACAGCACCTGGACAGGTGCAGGAGGTTCCACTCAAACCTGAGAGAAAATATATGGAAAAAATGTGTCCACATACAGAATAAACATGTGGATCCTATTATCAGCCCCCCGTTGTGGATTCAAGTGGGGCAAGCAACATTCACTACAGCATTTGCTATATCGATATTCCATCCAGCTGCTTTATCATTGTACAGGGTGCTGGGAAGCTGGAGCCCACCCTGGTAAGCAATGGGCACAAGGCAGGGTACAGCCTGCATAAGTGCTCAGTGTATACCCGGTCCAGAAACCCCCCAGAGCAAACAATTCAATAAAAATGAAAAAACTTTATATCTTTTTCCTGTTTTTATTTTGTTGGAAGTGGTATCAGGTACTGTACTGGTTCTGGAGAACAGGTGTACAACCTGGGATATTTTAAAGCTTTTTGTTTAGTTTTTTAAAACGTGACAGACTGCGATGGACTCCAGTACCTCGCAGGACAGATATTCCCGCCAGGGCCAATATTCCCTGAAGTCAATTTACCTACCGGTATTTCTTTGCACTGTGGGAGGAAAATGAACACCTGTAGAAAACCCATGTGACTGCAGGGAGAACATCCAAAATCTGCACAGAAAGCACCTCAGGCCTGGAAAAGAACCCGTGGCTCCAGTGCTGCGAGGCATCAATGCTTTGGAGACATTAATGCTTTTTAAATACATTTATTGACACATTTCCCCTTCCCACACCACTGGACAATCATGAAGGTAGGTTACTGGGTAGGTTGTACAGAAAAGAAACAAAATGTGCTCAGGTGACAGGGATTATAAGAAATATGAAAATGAGAGATAATGAAATTGAGATATTTATGCTTCTGTTGGATCCCCATAATAACCTTCAACTTACCAGTTTCACAGGCAGATTGGTTTTAGTGCAACACCTTAACATTTTTCAGAGGGCTAGGTTGGCAAAATAGCTTTTGTGCTGTGCAGAGGTTGAAGAGCTCCTTAGAGCCGTACACCATCAAACTTGTACTAAGAAAATGAATGGAAAGTTTATATTGCGGCAAAACCAATACTGCATTAGCATTTGTTTAAGAAGGCATAGATTTTAATGGAATAGGATTCAATCAAGCCACATAGATCTATGAGCTGAAGGTTTAGCATTAGCTGACATCTTTGAATTAATTGCTTACAAAGTAAAAGACTCTTGTCTGCTGGGCACATATTATTGTTTTCCAATCATTACCATTACTGTTAGATTACTGTTGAAAAAATGAATCCAGCCCTGTAAAGTGCTAGATTCTTTGCCATTTGTATTGGAAGGGATTGATCTGAATTGATGTTACTGTGTAGAGTCCAATACATTTTTTGAAACAGAAGAAATTATGTAGATAAATGTCCCTGTTTAATGTGGGTCATAACATTCAGGCCAGCACTATATTGTTTCCTCCAAGAATAAAAAAAAACTCTTACGGTGTCGATACCTGGAAATGTGTGTCTGCAGTTTACTTTCACGTGTAGGTATCTTTGAAGATGACAACAGAGACTGCTCGGTAACGTCAGGAACTCTCACTGGATGACGGCCTTTTATTAGACGGGAGCTGTGCTCACTTCATGGGCTTATGTCTCTAAACCAGCACAGAGGTAGAACACAAGCATTTGACATCCAGTGCTTGATAAATGCCCAGGGCTTGACACTGCTGATTTGTTTTTAGCTGAGGATATGGTCATTTTTCATTTCATGTTTATTTTATCATCCTTCCTGGTTTTACAGCTTCAAAGAGCAATGCTAGTCATTATTTGACCCAGGCTCCATGGGGGGACCACTGGGGTCCAGTGTTGGCTGTCTGTGGCAAGGAATGGGGTTTTCCTGTTATTCTATACTCAGGACAGCTCATTAATGTTAAGATTACATTTTATTCCAACATACTGACCACTAGTGTGGCAAAAATAATGATGCAATCACAGCTTTGAAACAAACCTGCAGCGAATGCCAGTGTTGCATTTAAAGACCAAAACATTCACGTTACAATTACAAGTTTGAAGTGCTCCCGATATTGAATTTCACTTAAATTGAAGGATAACATTATTGAGATTTTAACTTTCCCTTTTTTTGAAGGGGCAGTTTCAGTTACTGAACATCTATCCAATGGTTTTGCATTTCGAATTATGTTTAGGCACTAGTGAAAGAAAACCTAGAGGTTTATCCTTCAGTAAGACTGAATTAAAAAAACAATAAACAAGGCAGATCGGTGAATGGACATGAGAAAATCCAGCAGCTGAGGTCAAGGGCTGCAATTTGTCTGCCTGACAAAGATTTTATTCTGACCTTTATGTTTCTACCTGAGTGGAATTTTGTCTTAGAATGTCTTTTTTTCACATTTACAGTATAGCTGCTTCTCAGTCATGAGTGAGAACGGACTACGAAACAACTGGTCATGTCTGCAAATACTGAACGCACACACACACATCCACCCACACACATCCACCCACACGCGCTCACACACACACACAAACGCACACACAGTGTTCTGATGCAGGCATCCACAATGTTTACTGCAGCACTGGGGCACTCTCTATACCCCAAGCACATTTCTATCTTCATATTTTATTCATTTGCATGAAGGATGCAGTTGAAGCATTTCACTCAGACACGGGAAAAGTATGGTATGGTGTTCGCTGTATATAACTGGTTGTGCAGGCATTTTCTCAGTCCCTCGAACAGTTGCTAAGGTGATAGAAAAAACTGAATTCTAAGCAGAAACAAGAGAGACGTTCCATTTTTACTTCATCATTTACTTCATGTCTATGTCCTACATAATGAGGTAATCCAGCTGCCAAAAAATTACCTCTAGCTGATGGTATTTAAAAATCACAACAAAAGATCAGAAAAAAGAAATGCACTGGATGTGCATTATTAATGTAGTGCGCTTTCAGAGGCATGCTTCTGATTGTGGGACATACTCAATCTCTCACTCTGGTGCAAGAAAGCAGATCTGCTTGAGGCTTTAAAAAAAGACTATGAGTACCTCCCTCTACGCCCCCTCTGCAGGAGAAAGAGAGCTTGTCATTCATTTTTCTGCATATTTTTGAACTGCTTTTAGAAAGGAATGAAATTTGCACACAGCAAGCACAGCACCAAGATATAAGCGCCCCGATTGAGAATAGAATTGAAAACACATCCAAGATAATGAAAGACTTCGAGCAAGTGAGCTCAGTGGGTTAATTAATATGCTTGGGTCAAATTCTTCTCCAGGAATTAACGATAACTTGTCCAGATAAGGAGGTCAAAAAACAGTTATTTAAAGGGCCGTAAAGGAAAAAGTTATAATGCTTAATCATTGTCAAAGACTTCATGTTGTCATTCCTGCTACAGCAATTTGCGCTAATGTATTTTTTGCAGATATTGCAGTTTTAAGAATACAGTATATACATGCATTTATTTTTGTGTAACATAGTTATTAATTAATGGAGGTTGTTGATAGATAACATCAAGATTATAGCCTGAGCATTATTTTAATCAATAAAAAATAAATATGCCCTACATTTGTTGCTGAGTTGCAAACATTTTTGAAAGGGATATATCTGTAAGGTCAAAGGATGGATGAAAGCTGATATGAAGCAAATAATTGATAAAGAAAATGTAATCAGTGTCTGTAAGCAAGCTTTAAAACTATTCAACAAGAAAAGAAAAAAGGAAAAAGGGATGTCCTCAAAACATCAGATCCACTTCTAGTTCCTACATTTACTTCACATCAAGATACAGTACATGAGATGTTTCTTTGAAAGCTTGATACATTACAGGTATTTCAGTTTCCAAAATAAAGTGCTGTGTAGGCATTAATACAGTAAGTGCAGGAATGTCCGGTTTTGAACAAAATAAATCGTTTTACAAGTGGTTCAAGATGATCTTTAAGTGCAGTTTCTCAAAGGCTGAGAGGGTATGCAATTTTCTGAGAGGGGTTGTGTTTCATACTGTACATCCAAGAGCATGTACTCACCAAGCTTAAGCCCCTTGGCAAAGAAGTAGACCTGAAAGGCGATTTTTGAGTGCCTTGATGTCTGTTGAAGATTGGACTGGGGGACCTCATCTTTTCAGGCTCTTCCTGGATCTCATTTGTGGAGGATGTTCCTGCTTGTTCCCTCTCTTGTGGAGCATCTTTTTCGATTCCCTTTGGACTGGCTGCTTCAGGGGTGTCCTCGCTCCTTACGCTGTCTATGTCAGTCTCGAGGTAAGCCTTCCCAGCAGACTCTTGCTGGTTCCCAGCTTCCTGCGCCCTTCTCATGCTTTCGGTTTCCTCAGAGAATCGGCAGACAGACAGTGGAGTTGTTGACTGAACATGGGAGTCCTTCTTGTCCAAAACCCTGAAGGCTTTCAGGCTTTGGGGATCCAGCACTCTGAAGGTCACCTCATCCAGGAACTGGGAGAACTTAAGTTTGGCTTCGATCTTTTGCTCTAGCACCGCTGACGTGGCATCAGAACCCTGACTGAAGGTCAAGCTCTGCTCAGAACCACTCCCAGCCCTCTCTGTCTCTTCCTGGCACTCGGACCGAGCGCAGCCCCTTCTGCCTGTACTGAGGCATGAGCTGCAAAATTCCCTGCTAGACTTTAGATGACCTCTAAAGATCTCCCTGTTGTTCCTTTCAGTGGAGCTCCTAATGAGGCATGTGACTTCTGAATCGGCACTGTTTGTATCACATTGACTGTCCTCTTCACTGGAGCTGCAATTTTTTGGTCTCCTGGTGGGGAAGAAGAAACCCGGGTGATAATGAAGGGAGTTCTCCCTGTCACTGCCAGCATCTGTAAATGGCGAACAGGAAGAGGATGAGCAGGAAGAGGCTGTATCCTGCCTACTGCCTGCTGTCCCTGGTCTGCATTGCTGACGAGGGGCACCAGAAGCCACTTTGGCCACTCTGACTGAGCGGCTCTGCATTTTGGGGTTAGAGATGTGCAATCACTAATTGTGTGAATTGACAACTGAATCATGGTCCAGTGAGCGTCACTGTTTTTAAAGTGTTATTCACCCAATCACATACGGTACTTGTTCTGAATATCCAAATGGGCACAAACCCATCACCTCTCCCATGCTGACTCTACCTTCTTCATTGCCAAAAAGAAAGCCACACAGTTCACTGTTTTGGAAAAAAAAGGAAAGACCATTTTATGGCTTTGTGAATTTTTATACTATATGTATCCATTTTAAAATGACACAAGGGATCAATCAAAAAGATACTATTTTTCTCTCTGCATTTGCTAATTAGGCAGCCTATTGATATGTGATACAACAAAAAACAGTAGGTTTTCTAGGTCAGTGGCTCCACGGTATGGGATATTGATTGTAGATGCCACATGGTATTTTTTGGATGTGAGTGGTGAAGCGGAATTAGAGTGCTATAAATCAATGGCTAGAAATGTAGTTATGGAGTTCAGTGACATGCAGTGAGTGTTGTTTATTGTCTGCGACAGAAATCATCTGTCCTGGTTCAGGCGTATTAAAATGCCATTGATGGAGCCATTAATATCTTGTAAAGTGTTGAGGGAGTTCTATGTCTCAAGATGACAGGTCAAACAATTCACCTCATCATAGGTGCAGTTCCTAGGGGTAACAAGTTCACAGGATGTGTTGTAGTGGGTAGGATGGTATATACATCTACCCCTCTCACACACTATTAAGACCTATTAAACACATACAGTACATTGTACTGTATATAGTGTATAGTACTGTATATTAAGTCAGATGTTTTTTACATGTGTTTACATGTTTGTATTAAACCAGAGTGCAAAAACATAATACAAATGAACTGGTTTTAAAGTCTATACATAACCTGCTTATTAATTCTATTCCCTGATTTTGCTATTGTCACATAATTGCAGGGCAATGAAACATGGCAGTGAAACAATCACAACTTCATAGTGCTGCATAACTGATATTTAATTTAGAAATACTGTCAAGAAAATTAAGTTAAAATAAAGACGAACAGTTAGCAAGCCACCTGAAACAGCTGACCATCCGGTGTTTTGTTATTTTTTTTCCGGACTAACACAACAAGTATTGCATACTGTATGTGGCTTGTTTGCATTTTCTAGACCTTTCCATGTCAAATGGTGAAACAGTCATAAATCATTTTTGAACATCTTATTATGTTGTTAATTAAATGCAGGTTGTTTTAGAGAGACATCTACTGTATAAATGATTAATAATGATGTCTATTGCTAATAATACAGTATGCAGTTTGTTACATACAGAATTCTTAAATAAATCTAATAGCAGATTCATTATGTAACATACTGTATATAAATTAAATATACCACACACTGTTTTTCTCTCCTCTCACATTCTTAATGCTAGTAAAGGTAAAATCTGTGTTTAGCAACTCTGCCAGTAGTTCAGATGTTAACAACACAATATTGCCTTTATGCACCTTGGCCTTCCAGTGTTGTCATAGCGACCATGAAACTAGCAACACACCAAAGGCAGCAGAATGCATGGCATTCTGTAATGTAGTGAAGGCAAGAAGATTGTGTTTTCCTCCAACGAGGCTCTGCTGCTGACAGGCAATAAGGGGTCTCAGGCTCTTTGACCAATGCTGAGTCAGCCCCTGGCTTTAACAAGGAAGGGACATGCACATTATTGACTATAATGTCATAACATACTTAAAAAGACTGTAATCTGTGTTTTGAACTGAAAGTGAAATTAAATTTTGGCCTTTTAATTGACATGCAATATTCTGGAATACTCTTGATGTGGGTTCATTACTGTATAACAGATTACAATATAGGTAGGGTATATTGAATATTTGTTGTTTCATAGTACAAGTTCAGAGAAATAAAAATGAAAGCTGGTTATGGAAAGGTATCCATTAATACTCTTAAATATATATATTGTCTACACAGGCTCTAATGCTGGAGAAAATTCTCAGTGTGTGTTAAATTTGTTTTGAATATGGCAAATATATTCTAAAATATCCTTGAATTTCTAATCTTTTGCCACGCTACTTACAACTTGCACTTTGATTTAATTGCATTTGATTACAGCAGGATCAAAACAATATCTAATGCAATCAATATGTAACTGTTTGAATGTGATATTGAAAATGACTAAATTGAAACTATTAAAAATCAAAGAACAAACACTGTGCATATAGTCACTCTCCTTAAATCTTTTCTTGGATAAAAATTGCATTTTAAATACACTGTAATCAGCACGTAAATTAGATTGATACTATTTATTCCAGTCTCAGAAACAAACATTCATTACCCAGTAATTCTTCCTTTGAATAGTAATAAAGACATTATTAATAGTCAAAATATCCAGAAACAACATTAGAATCACAGAAGGAATCTCTCTGAAAAACTCAGCTAATCCTTAGTTTAGGGATTGCTCATTTCACTTTATGAATGCCTAACAAAGTTAGTAACAGTGAAGTATCCATAAATGAAGCATTTATAAATCTAACTTTTATGAATAATCAAGAAATGAAACATTAGTAAGGGTCAGTTTCTTCATGTTCCTACACTCTCTCAATGGTCTGTTAATTTTCACTGGTTTTAAAGAATTACACTTGAAATGATCAGACCCTAATCTAAAGGATAATGCTAGATTTGGGGCTGGAAAGTATTACTATAATGGTGTAAATCTACAGTACGTTGAACCAACCTCTGCTGTATATTAAATGCATGTAAGTAATACAACAGAACAGAAATATAGAACTGCTGTGTTATATGAGCAAATAAAGGGCAGAGTATAAACTAAAGCTCCTCAGACATCAAACACTTTTTATTTTTTTGGAGGCAGTATTAAAGATTTCAGAGGCAGACATTAACCCATTTAATACACATGTAAAAAAGGCATCTGTGTAAACAACAACAATGTCATCTTTCATGATTGAACAGTGTATTTGTGGGGGGTACTGTGGGATAATGAGAGTACAAACACATCCGGTTTTCCTTACTTTAATACTCTTCATAAACACTTGTCACAGCTGTAATAACCATTACAGCGCTGTTTTCCAATTACCATGCAATTATTGCTGTACCTTGCTGAAAATAGTATATACTATGATATCACATTTCATTGTGATATCATAGTATATACCTTGCTATGAGAAAACCACTTTTTGCACTGAGGAGGGGGCATGTGTATGCCAATATATTTTACCTTAAGAAAATATGCATAGAATTAATTACGGTTGTACAACAAGTAAGTTATTATCAAAGCTAATTAACAAAACAACAAACAGAAGGACCTCAGGGAGCTTTCAGATAGGAACATGCATGAATGATTTAGTAATGTGTTGTGATCTGGGATGGAAAACCATAATTGATTTGCTGGCTGAGTCAATGGCCTCCTTGAAACTTTCCACAGGCAGTAGGTGCAGGTACTGTATGTTTTCCTCTGCCAGGAATTTTCAGCTTCTTCTGTATGAACAACAGTTGCAGTAATATATAATTTAATCTTTGTTTATAGGTGTAGTCTAATCACTGAATCAAGCACTTTTAGATATATCATCGACCAGGCCAATAAACTTGAAAAAGATATTTTATATTATATATATATTAAAAATATGTAGGCAACTTTGTCTATAACAGCTGTTTCCCTATCTTTTTTTCATTTTTGTATACTTTTTCTGAATAATTAATAAAAGAAAAATTATTGTAAAACAACTGAGTTAAAAATCCTAATTCGCAGAGTAAAATTAACTGCATTGTTTAATATTTGGACAGCAAATCATCCTACTGTATGTAGAAAGTGATGATCTTTGATCAATGTCATTAAGAATTCCCAGTACTTTCATATGGACCCTAAGCAGATTGTAGGCTGTGTGACATTGGCTTCAGTTTAAACCAAAACAAAAAAAAGTAAATGGAAAAAACCAGGGCTCTCTGGCTGGAAACAAAATTATAATGAGAGCTGAACTGCAAATCTCCAGTCTCCAATTAAGCAGCTATTCATCTAACAGGATGACCAACCTCTGAGTAGCTAAGCTGATGAAAAAAAAAAACAGAAATACAATGCATGTTTGCTGTGTGCACAGGCATGTTTTCCTACAGTCTCAGTGGTGGCTATTAGTGATGGGTCTGAAAGCACTGCTCTTTGTTTCCTGTCTTTCAGCTCACTCAGCCAAGATCCCAGATGGTTTTGTATTGCTTGGCCACATGCTCAGCCAGCAGGCACCAACACTTTCCCAGCGTTTGAGGCACAATTTGTGGACAAGCCATAATCTGACCTTGTCCTGGTTCCTGTCCTGGCAATATGAGTGACAGTTTAACTAGTGCCAAAGCTTTCTGTGGACTTACTGTACCTTCTCCCCATTTTGCTGTGAGATTTCAGTTCTGCTTTCCGAGGTTTTATAATGCACTGGGAGATACACTGCTATGAAGGATGTGCTCGAGAGGTTCTTGTTAAGGGCTTTCTGGGAAAGAACTGAAAAATCCACATAAGCCTTAAGAGACTCAAATATTTTGAAATCAAACCTGCCAGTTCAAAGAAGACTTCAAACTTGCACATTTTCTATGCAATTTTTTTACTTAAGATGTCAACTTCACATGAACATAGAGACGAACAAACTCATGGAGTTTTTTTTATTTCTTTGAATGATGTCAGAGTAATTCAGTTGTAATAAAGGTGACATAAAATATTTAGGGCTTTCTGAATGAAAAACTGTTTAAAGGTACTTCAGAAATAGTGTTAAAGAAACTTATTAACAACTGCTAACAATATATTGTAAACACTGCATACAGTATTGCAACAGGGTTTGGTTTTGCACTTGAGGTGTTCTTGACAGTTTGGGAAAATATTAATGCTGTATTATTTTCATATACCTATGTCCACAATAAAGCAAAATACTCTAAGTATCCGTATGCTGTTTAAAAAGAAAAGG